GCCCAACATTCTCCCCCTGACAGGGGCCAGGAGGCAGCAGAGCAGGAACAGCCCCACAGACACTCACCTGTCCCCACGGAAGAAGAAGGTGTGTCCCGTGGGTTCCCACCAGACGGCTGTGTCAATGCCATCGTAGGGGATGCCCTGCCCATAGGTGACCAGGGGCTGCGGGTACCCAGGCTCCAGGTTGGCTTCTCGGAAGAGCCAGTACCGGTCACCTAGAGGGCAAAGAGTTGGAGAAGGGAAATGAGAAAGTCCTGCCCAGCTGCTGTGGCAGGTGCACAAATGGATAGGGATAGTGGTAGATGCCTGTGGCCACCCTGACCCCTTGGGATGACACAGCAGCTGTGGCTGGGAAGGTGGGTCAGGAAGGGATGAAGCCAACCAAGCTCTCAGCAGCTTTGTGGGGGACACTGGGGTCTCACTTCCACCTCAGCCCTCCCATCCAGTTTCCCTGCTCACCTTTAAAGAAGACGAACCTCCCATCATGCCTCTCGTAGGCAGCATCAATGTCCCCAGGGAGGCCCCGCCAGAAGTGTCCGATGGGCATGGGGTAGTTGTCCAGCACCCGGTTGTGCCGGACCCTCCAGAACCACCGGCCCTGGTAAGAAACAGGGTGTTGGCAGAGGATGGGGAGGAGACAGAGACAGTCACCTTGCTGAGGGGTCCTCCCACCCACAGACCCACTACATCCCCAGGGAAGGGGCAGGAGGGGGTCGGAGCAGGTACCTTGAATACAAACATCTCTCCACGCAGCACCGCCACCGTGTCGAAGTCCCCATCGCAGATGTCAGGGCCGTACTGGTCAGGTTGGTCTGGGCTGCCAGGTTTGGGTGGCCGCTCTGGTTTCCCCGGAGGGGGAGGTCTAGGGGGTCTCTGGTCTGGCCTGCCAGGTCTCCGGGGTGTCACGGTGGGCAAAGGCTTGGTGGGCTGAGGGTGCCCATCTGCGGTACCTAGATCAGGCAGGTGAGAGAAGGGATGTGGCGATGCGGACCACCACCTGTACTTCAGTTTCCTCACACACATGCCCAGAATCCCACCTCTGGGGATGATCCCCCAACCAGCTCCTCACCGTAGAGCTGCTGGATGCCCTTGAGGTCATCCTCGGGCAGCTGGAAGTTCTCTGTGTCCATCCACTGGTAGAAGGGTGCCATGATAGCACTGGGGTTGCTGGAGTGCTCCAAGCCCAGTGAGTGCCCCAGCTCATGCACAGCCACGAGGAAAAGGTTGTTCCCTGCATGGAGAGGCACCATCAGCAAGAGGGGATGGACAACATGACACATGAGGCAGACCCCTGGACCCAGCATCCTGCAACAGGGGTGCTCCAGTGGGATCAGCCTGTATCACCCATGGTGGACCTGCTCTCCCTGCCACTCCTGTCTGCATCGGCACAGCCTCCCCTTCACCCCTCCTTTAGCCCAGGCAGCCACCAGGCTCCTCTGGTCACCTTTACCACCTCCTTGGCCCTCAACTCACCAGACACATCTGCATTCTCCAGCGTCCAGGGCTCATCCAAGTCGAAATGTGTGTCCCCCCCCATGCCAGGGCCGGGGAAATAGGCATGAGCCAAAAATCCTCCAAGGCCATCAAATGGAGAGCTGTCTCCATGGAATCCAGAGGCAAAGAGCACCATGATGTCAGCCTCCTTCTTCCTCTTCTGCCGGATGTCCTCGTAGGCCACTTCCCGGAAAACCAGCGGTGTGGCTTGCTCCCACACCCGGAAAGCTCGTCGGACAGCCTCGTGCGAGTGGTACCGACCCAGCTTCTCCGTGTAGTTTTGGATGCTGGGGATACAGAATTCACTAGGCAAGGCCTGGAGCAGCACTTGTTCCCTGAGGGGATCCATGGCTCTCCATGGGCTGGGGGGAGGGAATTCCTGGCAGTGTTGAGTACCTGAAGGTGAGGTGGCTCTGGCTCCAGCGCCGCCCCGTCAGCGCGTACCGCTTCCGACGCATATTGGACTTCATCCGTGCTCCAAACTGATCCGGGACCCCACAGCGCGGACGTTTCATCCACCTGCCAGGACACCGAGCCAGGGCTCAGCCCACCACGGCCAACATCCCTGAGGGGGTGCAGCACCCACAGACAGCAGGGACGATATCCAGACTGCCGAGTTGCAGCCCCCAAAAGGGGAGAAGCAACTCCCAAGGGGGACAGCACCCACTGTTCCAGGTGCCGGCAGAGCCCTGAGGCTGTCAGAGAAAACCACAGAGCCTGAGAGTGGAGCTGCCATCTGCTTGAGCAAAGGGACAAAGGGAGAAACTCACGCCTTGGTCTCCTCGTCCAGGACGCCGGTGACGGTGATGCCGTAGAACTTCTGCATCTCCGCAAGCGCCGCGGAGAAGGTCTGAGCCGAGCGCATGGTGGACATCCGGCGGCTGGGCTGCGGCAGGTACCCGTAGAGCCGCAGCCATGCCTGCGCCGGGAGAGCGCGTCAGCCCCGGCACGGAGCAGCCCCACGGCACGACCCAGAGCTCCCCAACACCCAGTGGGGAGGATCCCTCCCCCTGCCTGACCGTACCCCAGCCCCGTGTCCCTTCACGGGGCGGTCAGTGCCAGCTGCCAGTGGCAAATGCCAACCCCGAGCAGGCAGAAGTGTGGCAGCAGGGCACAGGGTCCCTGCCCTGCCCTGAAAGGTGGAGAAGCTGGTGATCTCGGGGGGTTGCTGCCGGATTGTCTGACTCCAGGGATGAGGCACTGGCAGGGGGCCAGGCTGCCTGCGGGCTGCTTGTCACTGTCCTCCTCCGGAGCCATCCCCTGGGAGCTGCTGAGGATGTGAAGCCTGGGACCCCCACCCTGTCCGGTACCCACAAAGGGGCTTCTGTCCTGCGGGGCTGCAGCCCCAGGGCGGGGGGCAGGAGGGTGCTGGGGCGCGCCGGGGCTCTTCCTTCCTGCCCCAGCCTCCGCCTCCTCTTGTCTGCTTTAATTGCATTTTATTTTTATTATTACTCTTTTGTAACTTATTTTTTCCTATTCGTTTTCATTTATAGTTTCCAAATTAGGTGGTTTTCCTTTTAATCTTTAAAGCTTTTTTTCTAAATTCCTTCCAATTCTTTTTCCTTTTCCAAGTCGCATTGCTCTTCCAAGTCTTTCTCCTTTTCCAAGTCTTCTCCAGGTCCTCCAATCCTTTTCCTATCCCCCTTTTTTTTTTTTCCAAAAATGGCTTAACATTTTAATTTCTAAAAACATTAAATCTATTAAATTCTTCTACCCCCACTCCCCTTCTCCCGGCAGGGTGGTGGAGCAGAGCCTTTATCAGAAGCCCTTTCACCCCCTCCCCCGCCGGGCACAAAGCGCTTCCTCCCCACGCCCCGCGCCCGCTGCCCGCCACCCCCGGGGGCGACCTGCACCCCACTCCGCCCGTTCCCCGCCTGCACCTGCTCCTGCACCGCAGGTGCGGCGCGGGCTCGGCCCGGCCCGGGGCTCACCTCGGCGTTGATCTCCTCGCCCGCCGCCGCCGCCAGCAGCACCAGCAGCACCACGAGCGGCGGGAGGCGCCCGCCCGCCCGCCAGGGGGCGCCGCCCCCTCCTGCCATCCCGCGCCGCCGCCGGGTCGCGGCTGCCCCCGGCCGCGCCGGGCCGGGCCGCGCCGGGCCGAGCGCGGCGGTGTCCGAGCTACGCCGCCCTCATGGCCCGGGGCCGAGGCGCCGCGGGGGGCTGCGCACGGTGCATGGGAGGCGCTGCCAGGCGCGGCCCGTCGCCTCCCGGCCCGCCTTTTGTGCGTGAGGTCAGGACGGCGGCGCGCGGCACATGGGCGGCCGGCCGGCGCGGCGAGCGGCGGGGCCCGGCTCCGCTCGGCTGCCCTGCCGCGCTCTGCCCGCCGCCGGGAGCACCGGAGCGGCTGGCGGAAGGCGGGCGCGGCGGCGGCGGCGGGGAGCGGTGGGAGCGGGCGGGGCGGGGCCGCGGCGGGGCGGGGCGGGGAGGCGGGGCCGCCCCCCCGCACGTGCGCGCGGTGGAGCCGCGGCGGAGCCTCCGGCCCGCCCCCCGCTCCCGGCCCGCCCCGCCGCTCCCGGCCCG